AACGTGCTGAGTGCTGCCAAAAGTTCTTGTCAGATTGAGACTAGATAGACCAGCTAGACTATGCTCCCACCGTCCTTGAGCACGACAAATTCGCCATCGTCAGACACCTTGTAAACAGCGGGCTTTGCCTTTGCTCCAAGTCCGAGGGTCATGTAACCCCCAAGACCACTGAAGGCCCCCATCCCCATAGCGCCTATTCCTGTGGATCCTTGTGCGGGCGGAGGCGCTGGCAAAGCTATTTCGGTCGTCGACATCATCGGGAGCTTGAGCAAAACATGGTCAGCCTGGGTGTACGATAGCACCAGTGTGGTGGACGTGGAGAAGACGACTGCGCGAGGGGTATGAGGGAGATTGAGTTCCTGAGGACCACCATCAGTTGTCAAATGATTTTCCACCCAGTCGTTCAAGTCTTAAGGTATCTGACCTTGACCTCCTGAGCCTCTCCATCTTTCCAAGTGTAGATGACGATCTTCCTCTTGCATCCGACTGCCAGACGAGTGACGACGCTCGGCACCCCTTGCCCGGCATTCGACGCAGGATCCGAGGGCTCGTTAGGGTATTGAATTGATGTGTCGACACCGAATGACAGTGCCCCTTTGGCCTGCGTCAAGAGAGTCGGTGGAGAGAAGGCTGGTGAGGGGTATAATGTCACCGCCCCGTCTAGTGATATATGGTAAATGAATGCAATGCATTAGAGACTGTATCAGTCCATGGTAGAGCGAGATATTCACCAACGAGTACCACTAGGGAGTTGACATCTTTGATATACCCCAACTGCTCGATGGCTCGCCGACCCAGCCCCTTCTTGCAATCCTCGAAGGCAGCTTCAAGTTGACCATCTAGAACCAAAATCAGGTCAATCACAGAGACCACGGTGCGAGGATCCTTTACAGTCCTACCATTGGACTTTGCTAATGCATAGATGTGAAGGTTGCCGGTTGAGGTACCCAGATACAACCTGTCCGCTTTCCGGTCAAATGAGGATGTTTCTCAGATGCAGAAATAGGTTTGTCTTACCGTAGCTTGTTATAGATTCGACGCGTTCTTTGAAGCCATGGATGAGAGGTTGGCTACTGAACGGCGGCATAAGTGGTAGAGGAGTGGACCGTGTTTACGCTCGACGCGTCGAGATTGCAATGCTCATCCCACGTGCTCAGTCTTGGCTAATTTTGCGGCAAGAATCGTCTGGCATGTAGGGCAAAGACGCAAAGAGACAGGACAGATGCAGAGAGGGGGAGGGGTTTGATAATTGACGACGGCAATAAGGAAGGTACATTTCGTGGAAGGCGCCGACACGACAACTACGCTTCCAGCGACCTCGAACTGAAAGCCAGTAAATCTAGCGTAGGACTATTACTATGCTCTAATGGGAGTGACCACCCTCTTCCACGCTCTCCATCTGTACCTGCTGAAGCTTGTAGACTGTGTGCAAATATACCCGGTCAGTGACCCGGCCTACTTTACAAGAGCCTCAAATAAGAAACATACCGTTGCCGCATTCGGGGCACCGTGTGTTCTCGCGTTCAGTAGAGGCTGCAAGCCAGATAGTGTCGTGCGAGTCGACGGGGAAGCCGGTGCACCCAATCTGCCTGTATTTCGACTGCATCACGGAAAAAACCGGGTCAGCATCAAATTCACGCTCATGAAAAGGCAGAGCTCGAGGAACGTTGGAAAAGAACCATCGGAGCAAAGACAGCGATGAAAATGTGCGGCGACATCGACTTACAAAAGTAGGGACGATGATTGGGTCCTTCAACGTTCCTTGCCTGGTAACCAAAATGCCTTGCATGTCGAACACGTCTACGCCCTTGTGCTGTCCCAAAACCTGGTATCGCTCAAGACCAGTAGCTTGGTTTTCGTCCGTGGCGACTTCACCGGGCTTGGCTCCGGGGCCGACGCTGATAACTGGAGCATGGTGGTCACCGTGATGGTCGGCAGAGCGAATGCGAGCTGTCGCTGACAGGGCACGGATTGAGGTATTAGAGAATGAAGCTGGCCTAACAGCCCGAGATGCGACGGCACGGAAAGAGCTCAGCATTTTTGACAGCTGATAAGTTTTAATGGGGAGAGAAGGGAGGTCGGGGAGAGTTGGCGTTGGGTGAGAGTCGGAAAGTCGGTTGGAATTGCAAGAACTGAGAAACCGCGGGAATCCTGACAAACGGTGACGAGTTCTCCGACACTGAACGCTGCTTAGGAATGAGTGGAGAGCCGTATTTCAACCACTGCTTGCATGCTCCTTCGCCCCCCTCCTTGTCCCATTCTTCAATCTATCAAGCTCAGAAGAATGGTTTCCTCCAAGGTTCCAATTTCGCGTCTTCCACTCCCAAAGCCAACTCATACTCTCACAAATAATCTGAGCCCAGATCCAGTTGCAAAGAACGTCAAGGAGCTCATCGAACTAATTAAAACCCAGCCATCTGTACTCAGAAAGTCAAGGGCAGCTCATGAGTCTGCACATTTCTTCTACATGACACCTCTCCCTTTGGGATTCCCCTACCCCATTCGACCTCCACCAGACGACATCACGAAAGAGGAGCGGGCTGCTTATGTCGAAAAGGTTATTTCATCATTCGAGCCACTATCAGAAGCTCCTCTCGCCCCCTTCTCCGGAACAACATCTCCCGGCCTCAAGAAATACCACTCGTTGGAACGTGAGCATCACCCCAGAGAGCTTCTCTCAGTCGCTCCAACTTGCTTGCGGGACTGCTTCCCCGAGCTCGACGTCGGCGACTCTCTCGATATCATCGGGCATCAGCTCTCGGAACCGAAGGTCGAGGGGCAGAGGACGGAGGCATCGAAGGCTGTTCGAGAGGAGCTTGTCGATATCCTCTCCGGCAATTCCGTCTTGATCTCTGTCCCTACTGAAGGCGAAGGCGCCCGTGGATACGCTCCATGGTCTCTACGATACTCGGGACATCAGTTTGGTTCGTGGGCAGGACAATTAGGGGACGGCCGGGCCATCTCAATCTGTGAGAGATCGTTCAGCTTTACATCATAATTTAATAGCTAATACGCTTCGGGCGATTCGCAGTGGAAACACCGCTACCTGATGATCAAGAGACGACTTTTGAGCTTCAGCTGAAAGGTGCGGGAAGGACACCCTTCAGTCGTGGCGCAGATGGCTTGGCGGTGCTTCGGAGCTCTATACGCGAATATCTAGTGGCAGAAGGTCGGTCCCATCACCAATCCCTTTTATTTGCCACGATATTCTTGACTTCCAAAGTTAACCTCTTCTCAACAGCTATGCAGGCCCTTCGAATTCCAACAACGCGCTCTTTATCCTTAATCTCTTTACCAACGGTCCGCGTATATCGTGAAGAAGTCGAGACTGCCGCGATCGTTTGCCGTGTCGCCGAATCGTTCATTAGAATCGGCAACTTCCAAGCCCTGAACTCTGAACAGCCAGACGTCTCTTATATGTTCCTAGGATCCAGCGGAGGAGCTTTCGCACAACAACCTCCAAACTATGAAGCACTTTGTATACTCGGCGAGTGGGTAGCCCGTCGAGTACTTAAGTTAGACCTAAAGGAAGGGGAGCCTTGGGCAAAGAAGCTGGTTTGGGAGTGCGCTCGGCGGAACGCACTCATGGTGGCAGGTTGGCAGGTCCAAGGATTTATGCATGGCGTGATGAACACCGACAATATCAGCATCATGGGCCTAACGATTGACTATGGACCATACGCTTTTATGGATGTATTTGACGAAGGTCATATTTGCAACCATACCGACGAGGGCGGCCGCTACGCCTACAAGTATCAACCCACGATGATGTGAGTTATGTCCGCAGTTGCGGCTTCCTTCTCGCAACCTAAAGAAGCTAATTCTTGGTGCTCAGAGTTTACGCACTCCGGATGCTCCTCAAATCCTTGGGGCCCGTCATAGGGTATGAGCTCGAACACGGGAAAGCAGTGTCCCCCAGCTGGGCGAAAAATATACCAAAGGGGAAGCTCAAAACTTGGACTGCTGAGGCAGAGGAGGCTCTTTCAGACGACTTGGAGGTTCTTATCATGGAAACTTTCGCTGACGAGTATTGGAGATTGATGCGCCAAGTTGGTTCCCAATAAGCCTATGATGTTTGAGGCACATGGACTGACTAGCATCGTTCGTTAAACTGCAGCGTCTGGGATTGAGGGCCTCTCAGATTAAAGACCACACCGAAATCATCCAACCTCTTCTCGCCCTGATGCAGAAGTACTCGATGGACTTCCACGCAACATTCCGTCACCTTACGACCTTCAGAGCATCGTGGATGTCACCGCGGACTTCTGATATGCCTCTTGGAAACGATGCGGCCGATCCGTTAGACAATTTTCTTCAAGTACTCTTACCTTCAGACTCCTCCGACTCTGCGCGGCCAATCGATCCCACCGCGGCTACGAAGGAGTGGCTGGAGTACCTCCAGACATATGCTGCCCGAATCAACCTCGCAGAGGAACAAGCCGCCTGGAAGGACGTTGCCGCTGAAGCTGCAGCCCATGATGCCCCATCGGGTCCGGGTGAAGAATGGGAAGCTGTTCGAGAAGCCGAAGCAAAACAATACAACCCGAGATTCGTTCTACGCCAATGGGTGTTGGAGGAACTTATTTCAACATTGCAGAGTGAAGCAAAGGACGCAGGAAACCGAGATTTAGAGGCGCCTACCAAAGGGCGAGAAGCTCTTAACAAGATGTTGCGTATGTGCACAGAGCCTTTCAGAGGTTGGGGTGCTGAGGGACTTGCTGGAGAGGCTCTCACTAACGACGAAAGGGAGGAGAGGCGACTATGTGGGACTGGACCGAAGAACTTCCTGGGATTCCAATGTTCATGTTCTTCCTAGGATGTACCCGTTCTGTCCGTCAGATTTTCAACCTTTTCGGAAAAATGAAGCAGATATATTGATAATGCTTATGGGTGCGACTATTTCTAGCATTCTTGGGAACTACTAACCGGGTTAAAAAAAGGAGACCTCTCTCCCAAGGGTACGAGTCGTCGCCCTCTGGCAATCTTTAACGGGGCAAAAATGTCCCTGTTCGGGATCGAACCGAAGACCTAGTCCGTTCTGCATCCGTCGGTAACGAAATGCATGTAAAGGACGCGTGATAACCACTACACCACAGAGACTATTGGCTAAATCGGAGCGTTCCAAAATTGATCATCCGGAATTTATAAGCCATCAAGCCGGCCCAGCCCTAGCTTATATCTACAGTACGCAAACAAGCCTTCTGGGTTTCATAGAGTGGTATCGCTCAGTGTACTCGCTTTAAATTAGTTGTTAAATGTGAGGAAATATATTGAACTCCTAACTACTCTATAACTCGTCCTTTATCCGGTCCTTGAAGGCTTCCATCAATTCTGCAGGAGTGGTTTTGTCAGACAGGCTATTAGGAGTAGGCACGCGACCTCTATACTTACTTGTGCGGGTGGTCTTCGATATTGATGTTGGGAGGACAACATTATATTCCACAAAGAGATCACCGTTGCCGCGACCTTCGAATATCGGCATACCCTCTCCCACAATAGTCTGCACAAATCCTGATAATAGAGTTAGAACACGGTTCTGGAGGCTGATGAATACAACCTGTACTAACCAGGCTGTGTGACACCTGTCCGTTTTACGCGGACAACGTGGCCATCAAGATGAGTGATGTTGCGCTCGAAACCCAACAGTGCCTATGGGCGTGCATCGCATAAGTCAATCAATCATCTCCAGTCAACAAAAAGTTGAGCTCACCTCTTCGATACCAAGCGTTTCCCTCCAGTAAAGACTGGTATCCTTCCTCCTGAAGCCACCCTCGACCTTTTTACTCCTCACCCGAAGAACGATGTCACCAGCCTCCCAATCTGGGCTTTCGTCGCCTTCGCCTTCAAAGGTGACCTCATGGCCTTCCGGCATCCCTTTTACTAGATCCAAAGTGTATTGCTGAGTGTGTTCAAGGACCTTGGCCCCTGCGCAATGTGGACAAAGCTTCGTAATAACTTGACCGCGGCCACCACATTCATCGCATCTAAAAGGATAGAAGGTTCAGATGGATATTGCGCATGGTCAGGTCCAGATGAGAGTGAAAACTCACTGCATCTGGACGTGAGTGAACATTCCGGGGAAAACCTGTTGTCTGCCGATTTTGATACCCTGTCCATCGCAACCAGTGCAAGTGTGGATACCTGTGTAGCGAGTATTGAGCACGGGAATTAATGTAGAGAGCGTTTTTCTTACTGTCGCGCCCAGGTGCTGCACCCGTTCCTCGACAATGGTCGCAGAGAATCTTCTTCCGGATCTTGAACTATGCCAAGAGCGAGCATGTTAGTTAACTAGAATGACAAGAGGCATTGACGCGGGCTTACATCGACATGATTGCCCTTGTAACTGGGAGGACCTATTTGTCAGCACTGGAGAATCCATGTAATGAGAGTGCTACGACACTCACATATCAGACAGATTGACCTCAAATTCGGAAAGCATTGTAGGCCCTCTTCGAACTTGTTCGCGTCCCTCTATTTAACACGACCTGGTTAACCAGGTATTCCGCCGTTCCTCTAGACGAACAGTGCTTACGCCCACCGCCGAAGAAGCTGGAGAAGATGTCAAACGGATTGGCTTGTCTCCCTCCGCTCTCATGTGCCTTGAGTCCTTCCTGTGAAAAGATAGTTGTCAGTACTACCACCTTAAGACATGCGCATCCGAACACGAACCTCTCCATGGCGGTCGTAGATCGCGCGTTTCTAGGACACAAAATCAATATAAGCCCCGAGCAAGTTAACAACGTTCAAGCATTCTAACCTCCGAGTCACTCAGAACTTCATATGCTAGAAGAGGAGCGGGTGGGGTAAGAACCCGGCATGTTGGCACCACGACACGCGCGCACCTTGAGCGATCTCAGCAAACTTCTCTGGTGCACCACCTTTATCTGGATGATGAGCTCTGCTGAGCTTCCGGTAAGCCTTCTTAATTTCAGAATCGCTTGCGGACCTGGACACTATTTAAGACAGTCAGCCATTTCCAGCAGAGCAGAGAATATAAACACGCGTATTAACCTCCAAGGACCTTGTAGAAATCAGCTCCAGCGGCGACGAGAACGAGAAGATAAGCAAAAGAGAGAAGTGACCATAGTGAGATGATCATCCTTGCAATGCCCTCGTCAAGAGAGAGAGAGAGAGGAGAGGACCAGTTGGTTTTTTTTGAATATACGTGGGCGGAAAGGTGCAGCGCTTGTCTGGATTGTAATGCGTGTCAAGTTCCACGTCGATCTTTCCCTCGCTCCAAGAGGCCGCCCCGTGACTCTGAACATTTGACCGAGTTTGGCTTTCGCGGGACCCCATTACGCTCAGGACTGCGCCGTACGACTTGCTCATTGCTCTGACGACACCACCACCATGATTCTCCTCGAGGTATGCTCTACCTAGTATACTCACGAGTCCATCGGTCTCAAATTTTGACTTTGTAGCACAGTAATGCGATCATTCAGAAAACCCTCACCGACAAGTTCGACAAGCACGTCCCATTTCCTCTGCATCGCGATCACGTTCGTGTAGACTAATCATGGGTGAATTCGCTAGGCCATCTGCTTTAGATGTACAGTTTGTGGACTTTGATGGCGTCCGATATCATATGTGGACTCCAGAGAAGAAGACAGTCATCCTTCTGTCGATGAACATTCGGTGCTGGGATGAGCTAGCGAAATTCGGTGCTTGGGACGTATTGGGGAAAGAATACGGAGCATATCTGCAGCCTCAAGCATCTGCAGAGCCCGGGTACAACGTGTCCTTAGAGGTTGACATTGAGCAAGCGCCAAATGATCCAGGTAAGAGCCCCTGACCCTGACTGGCCTATTAGAGAAAGTGGAGATCGCCGCTGAACAACGGAAAACGTAGAGGGTCGTGAAGCTCTGATCAAATCATTCTCCTTGCTTCGTCGCCATGCCTTGGCTGCCCCATTCGTCAAAGCATTCCAGACGCAGAAGCAACTCGATGCTCTACCTGATCCTACTGATGGCTCAGCCATACCTGATGGCGAACTCATGGCTATTCATTATCGCGATACAGAAGGCATTTATGTTCAAGCTAGTCATGACCGCGTGACCGTCATATTCTCGACCGTGTTCCAGGAGGAAACCGATCGAATCTTTGGAAAAGTCTTCCTTCGAGTGAGTGTCAATCCCTCGACATCTCTCGTTTCGCTCTTGCTGTTCTGGGACGATGCTTATGATCCTTCCTTCTTCTACTCCTAGGAATTCGTCGATGCACGTCGTCTTCCGACCATTCAGACTGCTCCTCAGGTTCTCTACTCGGACCGCGACCCGCCACCGCAGATTCGGGACGACCCAGCACTACCAAAAGCTGAAGATGTCGGATACGTCACTTTCAGTTAGTCCTTCGAGCTTGAGCTTTATCTGGATAAGCAAGAAAGGCAGCTGATTATTCACTCTTGCGAAAGTTCTGTTCCCCCGTCACTTCACGAATCCGATCACTGCGGAGGCAACTATATCCCATATCCAGCTGTTCCGAGATAATCTACATTACCACATCAAGTGTTCAAAAGTGTATATGCACACCCGAATGCGTGCAGGTGTTGCGGAGTTTTTGAAGGTTCTGAACAGGTCCAAGGTTGAGGTTGCGGGAGAGCCCGTAAGGAAGACCGTCACGTATGTCCTTTGCGCTTTAGTTTCTGCCATCCCATGAAGCAGACCTCGACTGATCATGCTTCATGTAATTTCCCAATCTAGGGGACGCACCTTCACGTCGAGGTGACATCCAAGACCAAATATATCGCCCAGTCATGTAATGAGTAGAGGCTGTAGACCCTTATTCGAACCTTGGAACGTGGATTTTAGTGTGATGCCAACGGATTGACCCAGTTCCTTGTCCTTGGCCCGCTCTCCTTCCAATGCTCCATTCAGTTCCTCTGCACGACGGTCGAGTCATACTACCGTAGGCATGTGAATCAGCGTCAGTTCTAAAGAATGTTCTGGAGGGTAGGGGTCAATATTGCTGTGGAGTGTTGAAACGACCCAAATATCCGGCTTGTCCAGTGGATTATCGACGAGTATTGCGGAGCTCTCCGCGCGCTGGATCCAAATGCAGCGAGGCGCGGCTCTGGCGGACCGGGTTGCACTCTACTCACATTCTCGGGCTTTGGGACAGCCTGAAGAGTCAAGGTCGGCAAAGACTGCCGACCCATCGCTTCCCCGTGTAAAGGCTAGCTCGGGCTGAAGTCAAAATATCGTCGGAGAAACTGTGATCATGGTTTGGATCACTTGCACGAGCGATACGATGGGCGGCGATAAGATAGAGTAGTGCATCCAACGTTGTCTATGCCTTGAAAACGTGCCCCGATAGATCGAGACCCCGGTGCCAGGGAAGCACGAGCTTCAATGTAGTTCCAGAATATTGTCGTCATTGATGATGTAGAGTCTCAGTTTGGAGGGTCTTGGTTGTCAGCTGAGGCCAGGCTCGAATCGGCGCTGCAGTCTGATGTGAGCTGATTGGTATCATTCGTTGCCATGCCCAGTCTAGACGTGCTTAGCCTTTCAGAGATTTTGTGGGTTATGGACTCGTCTAGTACCGACGGTACTCGGGGTAAAGCGCTTAATGGGACTACGGGTCATGATAGCACCGGACCACAGCCGAAGTCCACAGAAAAAAAAAGAAAGAATGTGGGGAGAAGGGAAGATTCGGACCCAGTGATTGCACGCGGCTGAACGCGGTATCTTTGACCCATGGGGAGCTTACCGTTCCACAGAATCAGAACCGGGACTGGAGCGTGAATCTGTGTTGCGAACTCTCTTCGACATGGAACGCCCTGATAGCGGATATGGCGAATCGGGGTAGCTGGTTCCACAGAAGTTGTGAAGGACTATCTGGGAAACCGATAGACGGTGGAATCTTTTTGGTTGATGGCGACTTTAGGTGTTTGTGCTGAGGGAGGAAGAATAGCGGGGATGTTTCGTAACTCCAAGGGACGGGGATGGCATGTGAATTCCCGCCTAGACTGAATGTTTAGTTGCGGGCCCCTCCCCTGCACCTGCATCCTCCCTCCAACGCACCACTCATCCCTCCTCCCCTTCCACTAGCTTCCCCGTCGGCTGCTCGCGACGCCTAGCAGGCTCACTGCGTCCAGTCAGGAG